AGGGCTTACCTTTCTTCTCTAGGCTTAAAAACTTCCTAATCTATTTGTTAGTTTAGCCAAGGGGGGTTAACTGCATTTTTTTCCCTATAAAAGTTTTTTCAATATCTGAGGAGAATAGATGCTTACCTTAATAATTAGAACAGCTAAGCTTCTAAATAAGCATGAGAGAGTAATGGCTTTTTGAGGCTACAGATGGAGGTGCAGTCCTACAGCAACATTGGCAAGAGATTCTGGTCAATTCCACAGTTTCCATTCAAAACTTTGTAGGCAGTAGGAAAACGGATAAAGCTCTGGTAACTGTGACTTGTTTCACAGATACCAGTAGAAGAAATAAGGACTGGACTGAAAACAGTAAGCTGCTCTAACAGACAAGAAAGGTCTACAAAATAAAGAAAGACACCCCAGCAAAAAAAAACAAACCAAACCAAAACCACAAACAGAATCCTTGAGAAGTCCTTCACTTTTGAGGTCAAAGAAACACGGATATGAAACTGAGAAAAGGGCTTCAAAGCCCTTTCAGCAGCAAGACATAACTTTCTTCATTGGAGCCACATGAACTAGCTGTCATCCTAAAGTGATATCTAGGGAATTACAATATCTTTAAATCATTTCAACAAATTTACCATCACAAACACAGGTCAGCCTGTTATTTAACAGAATAACCCAAGTAAATTTTAAATTACGCTGTCACAATAACTACTTTCTACTTCTATAGTACATTTTCAGTAGTAATTCAATTACTCAATTTTCAAGTGTTGCCCATGTCGTCATGAAAATCCCACTGTATTCCACCTCTATCCCATTTTTTTAAGTCTCAAGAGAACACCATTTGAGCAGCTGAACAGAATGGACAGTCATTGTAAGGGGGGAATGGGGAAAGAAAGAAGCAGTAAGGACACAGCAAAGGACAACAAAGTATTAAAAAAAAAGAAAAAAGTGTCTGCATCAGTCCCCTGTTCTAAACGACTAAGGCACAATGGCATTTGAGCTATTAAATTATGCTTCCTCCCTGGATTGTTAATGGATTGGCCACAGGGTAGGGAATTTACAAAGGACCTAGTATCATCAACAGAAATGTGTAGGGTACTACTCCTTATAAACAGTGAGTAGCAAAAGGAGGACAATTAAAAAAAAAAAAGCAGGATAATTTCAATGTAACTGTAAAAACACCTATTAGTCTGGAACAAATAAGTTAACTTTTAAAAGCAAATACTAAGGCAAAGGAAATCCAGAGTCCAACCTCTCCAGGTTCCATTAAAGAATTTGATGTGGTATCACCAAGAAATTATTTACTGAGTTGGAAAAGATAGGGTGTAACACAAAAATGAAGTGGATATAAAACTGACTAACAGTGACATATTGAATGACTTTTTAAAAATCCTTCTTCAAACTCATCTTATTTCATGTCTGTGAACCTCGCAAAAAGTAGCGGTGTTTTTGACAAAAACTGGTCACAGGAAGCACTCTTGATATGGGGGAGGCTCTTGCTAACTTACAGAAGAAATTGGAGGATGGTTGGGATAGGCATATCAGAAACGGGAAAACATTTAGCAACTCGTCAAAGCCATGTGATTACAAATAGCAGTTTCTGTAATTACATGGTGTCTTATCATTTGAGAGCAACAGGAAAAGAGAAATTACACACCCATGCTTAGTTTACTGCAAGAAGATTAAGCCAGCCTGTCATACCTGTAAAACAAACTTGATCTTCACCAATAGCTGATAAAGTATTTCCAGTAGACCAAGTGGAGCATTATCACTATTATTCAAGACTTTGAGGAAACACTTCAAGTACAAGGTTTTTGATGCAGGTGAGATATGTTAAGAATTCAGAAGAATCAAGTTACTAGGCTCTATACCTTCCTATTTATTCTGTTTTACTAGACAGACTAAAAGGTGCTTGCTCTGCTTGTTTGATCCTAGCACATAAAAGCTGAAGAAGGCATATGATCAATGTTTATAATTTATTGAGGGCTACACACCAAGGAAAGAGTTGTTTTTAAATAACAATATTGAGATATTAAAAATTAGGAAACAGAGAATATATTTAGGCTGGAAGTTCAAAGAAAGTTCTAAGCATTAGGAGAGAGGTTTTGAAACATCTTTCCAGAAAGAGCAACAGTGCAAAGTACTTAACAGGCTTTAAGGTGACTGTGGTGACTTTATGACTGGGTTTAGATAAGATTGTTGCCTAACTCAGAAAGGCCTTTACTTCAGCACTGAATTAATTCAGTGAAGAACTGGTCCTTATTCTGCTCCCACCCTTCCCAGTCTTTTTTTTCCCCACTATTCCCACTAAAGTTCAACTGGGGCTACGAGAGGACTACATGCAATTTTCTATCTTTAAGAGAAAACAGTCTTAAGACTTAAACCCCTACCTCTCTAGCTTACATGTTTTTATAGAACGTTGCATCAAAGCAGATGACTAGAAGCTCTCCTTGAGATCAAAAGATTTAATCAGCAACTAAACAGAGCAGCGCATTGCAAACATACTGAAATGATATTGCCTCTTCAGGTCTTCATTAAATATTTGTCCTCCTTACCAGTTTAATGGATTCCTGGTTACTATATAAACAGCCAAAAAAGGAATTTGATTATACTCTGTGTATCTACACCTCAAATGCTGGCGCTATCCTTTCTATATTGATGTCGGTATGTGAAAACTTCACATAAGCTTCTGTTAGGACATGCAGCTACCCGCGGCCGTCCTAACCTACTACTTTTAGGCTAATCATTGAACAACCCATTCAAAAGTTTTCTTATGGCAGCATGTAATTCAAAAACAGCTATAGTAAACAGAGAGGGCATATACACATGACTACAGATATGAACCAGCTGCCACACAGTTCTTTGTATAGCATTAACAGAACATTGCGCAATGTTGCAGATAGCTAACTTACCCATTCAGCTCCTTTCAAAGCTATGTCCATCAAGAAACATGCAGCACTATGGTTTCGGGATAGAAAAAGTACGTTCAACCTGTTGCAAGTGTTGAAAAGGTAGGTGGGTCTGTCATTCACTGAAGTCACCAAGCCCACAATCCATTGTATCAAACACAATCGAGCCATTACTGTACGCACAATAAAGTCTGGTGACATTTCCCTGCATCCTTCTGGCTGACGAATGATTTTTTTGTTTTAGATTAGAAAAGAAGCAAATGCTTTTCTAGTGTAACTTTATCCACACTTTGGTAGCCAAACACAAATTTCACTTAAAAATGTACACTGGACTGAAACTTGAGCTGTGACAGAAATTGTTCAAACCCCTAATTTTTCAGAACTTCATGTTATCCACGTATGATCCACATAGCCAAAGCACTGGCCAGAACAATGTCAGTTACACAGAAGAACAATATCAGTTACACAGAAAAAGTACTTCTATCACAGTGCTATCTCAGACCAATAAATGTCCACCACTTAATATACTTCGGCCACTTTGGGGACTGTTGTTCATGATAGTATTTCCAGTTAGAGACAGAAGAATCAGAGAAGAAAACAAATTGCTCTCCTGTTCCAAGATCACAGATAAAGCAAATGACATCCACCTTTATTGACTGTCATTTTACCTCTACCACCTCTTTTTCTGTGATAAACCAAATCCTCAACAACAGAATCTCTTTTAATTGGTTTGTTATAGACGAGACCAAGGCTTCCACCTTAAATGTCATAAACTGCTGTATACGTGAGTACAACTTAGTTCAAAAATGACATGCAGTCTTGGATTTGACGTGAAGACTCTATTTCAAAGTGCTTCTTCCCTTCTGACTAGTCTTCATTTACATTTTTGTCTTTTTATTTCCAGCTTATGCTTATTTTTGGCTCCCTTATTTTGTTTCTATAGAACAGTGAAATGAAAACTACTGTATATATACTTGTTTTCAAAGTAAGCATATTGAGTGGTTAGCCTAGCTCATATGTTCTTGCTTACCTCATAGATTTCTGGGTTATTATAAGTTTATTTTACTAGTATAGCCCTCTATTGCCACACACATACACACACTTTTACAATAAGCTCACGACTTACGAAACTTGCAAATCACATGTGCGTTCAAGAACACAAGCTCCTTAATTCCCTCATTCTGATAACATGACTTACTGCAATGTACAGTCTCCATCTATAATACACAACACCTTTTTAATCAGAAATCAATATTTTTACATAATTGGAACAAAAGAAGTTAATAATATTTGCCACTTATACTATTATCAAAAATACGTTAAGCTACTAAAGCAATTAACCCCAATCTAAATTAGTTCCATCTGAAATGATAAAAAACTCAGTCTCATTTTGCCAGCAACAAAACTAGTCAAATATATGAAAAATCACTGATGTAATAAAACAAAAGTATTAATAATTTCTACAATACAGAACCATGATCTTATCAGCCTAAATACCTCATTTCTTATTTTATGAAGAAATACCTGCCACAGGAATAAATATTCTTAAACACAAACGTCTTACTGAACAGTAGTTCTCCCCAGTTCAGCTCATTTAACAGGCAAGTGTCAAGAACTATTACGGTATTGCCTTAGAGGCGAAAGCGAAATCCTTGTAAGCAGCTTATCACATTTTTCAAGTTTTTTTTTCAAAGGATGGAAATAATAAAAGCAGACATCACACAGATTTTAGTTGCTGTAGTTGAGAAAGTCAACCTTTTCAATGGAAGTTGTGGTCTCCCTAGTCCAAGTTTTCTCCATTCTGTATCTCAGAAAATATGGTTTGTACAGACTAAAAACTGAAAGTAAAATTTAACAGCCTGGTTATTCTCAGTCTTTCCATGTGTAGCAAAAATAAGAGGACATATGTGATTCTAAAGCATCATCCTTATACTGTCAACCACTTCCAACTCTGCAAGAGATTTCAGGCTATAATGTGTGAACCATTACTACATGCTCTAATAGTACTTTCTATTTAATCAGGAGAGAAGAAAAATCCCCTGTAGAATTACAATAAATAACTACAGTTTAGTTTTAAATGAAATTATGTAGTTTATATCTGACCTGAGTTTCAGTCTTTTCCTAGTGGGAAATATAAATTCAGCATTTGGATACATAATCCTACTGCTCTCAGAAGCCGGCTCCACCACGAACACTTTACATGATTTATAGCTCTCCTCCAGATTCAGATGACAAGTCTCAGCGGAGCAGGTGCAACGGGGTATTTTTTCCTTCCTTCAGAGATCATTCCCTCGTATGGAAATTAATTAGCAAGTCTTCACCACTCTCGCGTAAACGGGGAAGATGAAGCTAATGGATTATCGCCGTTTAATTTCGCACGCGGAGCGGTGACCCGGCGGCCGGGAGGAAGGGAGGGGGCTCGCCGGCGTTACTGCTGAAGCCACAACGTTTTTGACAGCGTCAGCGGCGACAGAAGTGAGCCCGGCTTCCGCACGGTTATGCCAAGAGAGCAATTTTTAAACCACGGGCAGGCTTTGGGGGGAACCTCGGGGACGAGAGGCGAACCTCCCCCGCGCCAACACGCCCATTTCTCATACACCACCACCTCTCCTCCACTTCCCCCCCCCTCCCC